ATATATATATATATATATATATATAGGTTGTTTCTTATTCTTCACTTATTACACTAGCTAACTTCTTCAAAAACAATATTGAATATTATTAGTGATGCTGGATGTACTGTCTTGTTTTCTATTCAATGACAATGGCTGCAGTATTTCACGTTTCATATGCTTTTTTATGATTTAAAAATAATATCTTCATCATATTTAGGTAGTTTCTTTATTTCTATTCTTATTTTACATGGAATGATTATGGTATGGTTTTTAGGAATAGCTATTGAATGTTACTGACTCTTTTTTTTTTTTTTGCATCTTCTTTGGATACAGTTATGTTTTCCCCCTAGGTTAATATAATAAATTTTGTTAGATTTCCTAACTGAACCATTCTTTCTTTTTTTCTTTTTGAACCATTCTTTCATTTCCATAATAAATTCTTTATGGTCATAGTTTATTATTTTACTAACTACTGTAGGATTCTATTTGCTAATAATTTATTTAGATTTTTATATGTATATTCATAAATTGGGTTATAATTTTTGTTTTTTTATTTTGAGGTTAACATTGAAAGAGGCTTTAAATTATTCTCAAAGTTCTCACATGCCTGGTCAAAGTAATGTTGTTATTCATTATGCCCTGAGGTTCATGAGTGCTTTATTTATTAATTAATTTATTTTGGTGGCTGGCTGGTACGGGGATCCATACCCTTGACCCTGGTTTTGTCAGCACCATGTTCTAAACAACTGAGCTAACAGGACAGCTCTGATTTTTTTAAATGTAATAGTTAGACGGGATTCAAAGTTTCCCATATAACAAGGGATCCATACCCTTGACCCTGGTTTTGTCAGCACCATGTTCTAAACAACTGAGCTAAGAGGACAGCTCTGATTTTTTTAAATGTAATAGTTAGACGGGATTCAAAGTTTCCCATATAACAATGTCATTTCCCTTTATCTGAATTATTATCCTAGGCTTTACTTAATGCTTTATTGCAGAGGACAAAAAGGATGTGGTTTACATTGGTGGGAATCATGGAAAATGGAAACAGTCCTGGATAAACCCATGGAAGTGCGCAATGCTTATGAAAATGTACAGCAGAAAGGTTACAAAAAGCTGTACTGTGGTACCAGGAATGTTGATGAAATGAGAAATATTAAAACAATTGGGTAAACTGAGCTAGTAAAAGGCAGGTGGCTGATAATTTTTTGAACAAAAGTGTAATTAATGTCTCATTTGACTTTCATAACAGCCCAGGAAGTTTAAGTAGAGTATTCAGCTGCAACTATTTTTTTTTTGTGCAGCTGGCTGGTACACAGATGCAACTATCTAATGAATAATAGACAGTTTGGCATCTTAATTAATATAGAATATTGAGCTTATATATTCCCAACTTTATTGAGTTGTGACTAAGCTTCCTTTCTCATTGCTCCCCCCAAAGCTATATAGAATCTATTAGCTTTGATATTAAAATGAATTTGGGTTAATTTTTCTTTTAAAAGAAGTAGAAGACATGCTGTTAATAAATGGGTTAGCACTCCAGGTTTTGGCAAAACTGGTGTTAATCATACCTTTAGCCACTTAACAAGGAGAAGAAATGATTTCTGGGAGTCTTGTTTTTTTTGCCATCAATGACCCGCAGGGGAAAATGATATGTAAATGTTTTTCCACAATCTTTTAAGGATTCTAGGATATTAGTGGCATACATAAATTGACACTGACAAACTAGCTAATCAGATATTAATGGCATATCTAAAATACTATACCAACAAAACAAAGTTGTGTGTGTGGGTTTTTTTAGAGAGGTAAATGGGATTGGTGCTAATCTGTAAAGTGTATCCCTTTAGGCAAGAGCTAGGAACATCTTTAAGGGACTGACTTTTAATATCTTAGTTGTATATATTTTCATAGTTTGCAAAGGTTTCCATAACACGGGATCTCATTGGATTTTCACAAAAACTCTGGGAATTAAGGAAGGCAGATATCATGACCTCAGATGTCTACAAATGCATAAACAAGCTTACCAAAGTCAAGTAACTAACCTGGGTCACGTAGCTTGTGAGTGTCTGGGACGTCTTAGAATCCAGATCTTGATGAAGAGAGATTCTTTGTTTTAACTCATGTTAAAGCAGAGCTTGACACAGTTTAGAACACAGTATATAAGCTCTTTGGATATTTGTTGAATGTATGAATGTGCCTTGTGAGCCTATTTCAGAGTTCTGTCCACTGCACGATGTAAGCCCACCATGAAAACCAAAGTCAACAACTGAAACCAACTGATGCGGAGGAAGGGTGGGAGGTTGGGGATGGCATAAGGGACAGTGAGGATTATAATAATAATAATGGTTATTCCCAGGAGAATTAGGAAATTTGAGATGGAGACAGCCGCCTCTGGAAATGTCAGTGTTTATTAAACATTTAAGAACATTTGGAGTTTTGAGAAGAAATATACAGAATGTAGAAAAATCCTAAGAATCTCCTGTGGCCAGAGTGCAGCCTCTTTCTTCTCTCTGCCCCCCTGTATTTTATTTGCTTTTTCTGCTTTCTATTTGGTTGTTTAAAAGCCATTTATTAAGGCTCATTTGCCCCCTCCTCCACCCCCTGACCTATGAGGATCCACTGTCTCTCTCTCTCCTTCCCCAAGACCTTGAGTCCCAGAACAGTGTTCCAAAGTGGTCAGGGGGCACCAATCCTGTAGCTGAGGTTTGAGGATCAGGGTCCTCTCTGCTTGGGCTGGCTCTCCATTAAAGACTCAATGGGGGATGGAGAATTGCAAAAGTCACATGACGTCATTGGTCCTCAGTCATGGGGGTAAGGGCAGAACATGAGCAAAGGTAAACAAACAAATAATGGATTAAAAATAAAAAATAATCAGCAATGTAAATAAACCCTGGATGATCTGAATGTTAGCTGGGAGGACAGAGTATGGAGCTGGGCCATTTGATGGACGAGAGGGAGGGACAGAAGAGGAGGAAAGAGCCAGAGGGACAGGCTGGGGGTACAGGGGATGAGAATGCCAGGTGGCCTGGAGTTGAGGCAGGGGGTATCAAGGTCCCTTTCTTCTCAGTGCCTTAGGGACAGGCACCAAACACACAGCCCTTGGGGCGGGGGGGAGGATGGATCAGCCCCTGGGCTCCCAGAAAGCCAGGGGGTGAAGTTGGGGGAGAATACAAGTGCCTGGGGAATGAATTTTGGAACGAAACTTACATCTCAAAGGGAGGTGAGGGCAGGGCAGGGCTGGGGAGCAAGGGAGGAAAGCACCTAGACGGGGGATAAGAGGAGCCTAGGTCCCCCTGCTCCCGCAGGGCCTGGGGTGGTGGTGATCACTTGTCTGAGTCCAGGCCCATCATGTTCTTGAGGGCGTTCTTGAGGCTGGTTCTGCTGGGGGACTTGACAGCAGGCCGGAGCTCCGAACTCTGCTCATCCTTTCGTAGCTCCATCTCAATGACCACCACCTGAGGGCCTTTGGAGGGCTCAGCCCGTAACCCCCGACCCCCCGCCCGGCCCGCTAACCGCTATTTCTTATCCTTGCGAGACTCCCCCAGCCCCTTGGACTTCTTCTCACTGGCAGCTTTGGTGCTTCTGCTGTGGTCCAGCATGGCGTACAGCACTGGCGTCTGGAGGGAGTGTGCACACATCAATCACCCGGCTGGTGGGGCTTGCCTGTTCCCATCCCACCCCTCACTGCTGCCCGGCGACTCCCAGGGTTCTCCTCCCCAGCTTGTCCAGGCCCCAAGTCCCGCTGACCTGCCGCCCGCGCTTCGTTGTGTCTTTTGCAGGCTTGTGCAATTTCCCTTTCTCCATGGCGCTGCAGGAAAAGGGAGTGCTGTGAGTTGGTCTCGTCAGAACCCCTTGCACAGTAGACACAGCTTTCTCATTGCTTTGGTCCTCCCACCCCCGGACCGGACCGGGGATAACAAGGTTAGGGGAGGGGAGCCAGGCTCCGCCCCTTACCTGAGCCGCCTCTGCAGGGCCGCCTGCCTTCGTAGCCAGCAGTACCGAACCAGGTAGAAAAGCAGAAGCAGCAACAGCACCACCCCGAGGACACCCCCGATCACGGCTCCCAGCACCACCCCGTACCTGGTTGGCACTAGGAAAGGAGGAACAAGAAGTGGGGGAATGAGCAAGGACAGGTATCTGTGGTTGCTGGCCCCACACCTATTCCCTGTGGTTGGGGCTGTAGGACTCCCAGCCAAGGCTACCCTCTGCCCACCCTCCCAGAGCCTGAAGGTCATTAGGCCGGGTTTTTTGCCTCTTCCTCCAGCCTATCAATCCTCCCTGATACCCTCCCTGAACCACCTCCCAGACCCACTGTCCCCTGACCCCTCTCACACCTTTTTCAAAGACGTAGAGAGTGACCTGAGAGGTCTTGCCCACTATGTCTGGTGGGTTTTTGACATCACAAGTGAAAGTGCCGTTGTCACTGTAGTCTAGGTTGTGTATGACAATGGAGCCATCCTTCCAGCGAGGGTCCCCTACCCACTGGATGCGCTCTTTGAAGGTCCCCACCTCATCGATATAGGGTTGTCCCTTGGCATAGTGGAAGATCTATGAGGAATGAGAGAAAGCATGTGAGAGGACCCTAGTGAGAACAGGGTTGTCAAACTTAGCTCCCACCTCAGGGTAAGGGATCCTGGGCTAGAGAGGGTAGTGCTGGGGGAGGGAGGACAGTGCAGACATGCCCTAGTAAGCATGACAAAGATTGCCACTTACCTTGCCAAAGTTGGGGTTATGGCTTATAAAGGATTACCCCATCCTTAGTGCAAGCTCTCTTTTCTGTTGTTCTCTGAAGCACCCTTTCTGTTATCCAACCCCAGGATTCCCTCAGGCACTCACCGAAATGGCATCTCGGCCGCCCTCGGGCTGGTAGCGCCAGGTGAAGGAGATATCATCTGAGACCCACTCACTGGACCAGAAGGAGCAGTGCAGGGTCACCCGGGAGCCCACAGCACCATAAACCTCCCTGTCCGTGTAAACCACAATCGCCTGGGCCGGGGACAGCACTGCAAGCACAGAGGGTGAATTAGATACATACATGGGCCCAGTAAGGGATATAGAGGAGGTGAGATCAATGAGGTCAAGGGCTGAGTCATAGGTCAGAGGCCATAGCAAAGATTAGCACAGAACTGAATCCTGAGGCTCAAATCTCTCTGAGCTAACTGAGTAGAGGAGTGTAAATGCTGTGTCTGTTCCAGCTCTTCAGCATGTCTGTAGAGGAAATAAAATCAGCAGTAGCAGAATTCTCTCGAGGACTTCTAAAAGTTGGGTTTTGTCTCCAAGTCTTATTTTCCCTTTGGGTCAGTTTTTAACTATTAAGCTGTCCCTTAGATGCAGAGTATTATATTTTTAAAATTTATTATGAATTATACAGGTAATAATATTGCATTATTCTGACAAACTATTCAAGCAGTAGAGATAAAGCTAAAGTCCCTTGACAGCAACCCCCAACTGATTCCTTTCCTGTAGTTCCCTCCCAGATCTAACCACTGCTATTAGTTTAGTGTGTATGCTTTTCCTGTGTATCAAACTCAGTACAAACTCAGGATATACACGTACTTAAAACAAATAGTTTTGTTTTGTGGAACTTTCCTTTTTTACATATACATTGCATTATATTCTTTTTTTTTTTTTGCTTAAGAATCTATGTACCTGGGGGACTTTTTTTTTTTAATTGTTTTTGTTTGTTTGTTTGTTTGTTTTTTGGTGGCTGGCTGGTACAGGGATCCAAACCCATGACTTGGTGTTATAAGGCTGCACTCTAACCAACTGAGCTAACTGACCAGCCTTTTCAATGTTGATTCATAGACACCAATATTATTATTATTATTATTATTATTATTTTCTGACCGGTAAGGGGAGCGCAACCCTCAGCACGGTGTGGTCTGCACCACGCCCAGCCAGTGAGCGCACCATCCATCCCTATATAGGATCCGAACCCGTGGCCTCGGCTCTACCAGTGCTGCACTCTCCCGAGTGAGCCACGGGGCCGGCCCACCACCAATCTTATTTCTAACAGCTGCATAGTATTTCACAGTACAGCAAACTCAAATTTCTCACAGAAAAAAAAAATGAAGATAACTAGAGAATGTAATTCTTCCCTGAGCAACCATCCTCACTGCTGAACCTCTGGTTGCCATACACCTTGCTCTTTACTAGAGAGTCAGGGAGGGAAGGACCTCATAGCCCACTCAAGGGAAGCTGGATGCAGAGCAAGACACCAAGGCCAGAGCTCAGATGACTCTGCACGTGAGCTCTCTGTGGTTCCACCATCCTCACCCTCCTCTGGGGCATTCTGGCCCAGTGCCACCCCCCAAGACTCACCCACACAAGGAAGGCCATTCCAGGGAGACTGTATATGTGGGTGGGCCCTGGGTGGGGACAACTGCAGACCCTTTTGTTCTACAGGAGGGGGAGGAGGCAACCAAACAATGTCCCATTGTCTGACCAATGTTGGGGGCTCATGCCACCCCACCCCCACTCCCATAGTCCTGAATCTCCTACCTCAGCATGCAATAGCATTTACTCACCTCCTGAAACTTCTGCCTTAGAGCTTTCTTGGAAATCCCCACTGTAATCTCCCCAAGGGAGGCTATTCACTGCATCTGACTTCTATTCCTCCTGTTGTGATATCAACCATTGCTCTTCTTAGCTCTGCTCAATGGTTCTACGAATGGGACAGGTGCTGGGACAGAGCTCTCCCTCCCTCATATACTCCATGATTCCCTCTCCCCATTTCCCTCACACTGTCCTTCTCCAACTCCCAATCCTTAACATTTTCTTAGGGTAGCCCAGAATAGTCCAATGTAGCCCTGAAGAGTCTAGGTTCTGGGTTCAAAACTCAAGTTGCTGACAGCAGAGAACCTTGGACATTCTTTTTTTTTTTTTTAAAAAAGATTACTGGTAAGGGGATCTTAACCCTTGGCTTGGTGTTGTCAGCACCACGCTCAGCCAGTGAGCTAACCGGCCATCCCTATATGGGATCCGAACCCGGGGCCTTGGTGTTATCAGCACCGCACTCTCCCGAGTGAGCTACGGGCCGGCCCAACCTGGGACATTCTGACCAGCTCTTCCCTCCCCTGCAGTCACCCCCACTACCACCACCCCACCTTGCCTACTGCTCACCCACTGTGCTAGGATACAGGGCAATTCAGAGAAGGGAGGATCCATTCAAACAACCCTGATTTGACCTCTTGCTCACACAACATCTGCCAGGGGGCAAGGACGGGGCTGGTCAACTCATGAAGGAAGACAGCTTTAGAGGGACCAGATTCCAGAATCTCATAGAACTTCCTTTCTATTCTATTCACCCACACAATAGATGAGGAGCCATAGAGAGAAACTGAGTCACCAAGAGACAAAGGATCTGAGGAACTGAGACCACAAACCTTGGGCTCCTTCCTTAGTTCACATTTCCTGACTTTTCTCTTCAGGAAACTACGGTTAGGTACCTCCTATACTACTAGGGAATGAGTGGGGGTTAGAACCCAGATGTTTGATCCTGCTCCTTCCCACGCTCTAACACTGCTCCCTACAAGGATGTTAGCTTGGCTCTAGCACATTACTGGTTTCTAACCTCAGTCCAGCCATGCTCACTCGGGGAAGCTCTCTACACTCTCTTTTACGATTGCCCTTGACAGAATACCTTTACTGCCTCCCTTCAAACAATATATATTTTTTCTCTCTGAATTTAGTATCACCTTCCTGCTCCTGCCTGCTTTTTCTTTAATTACAGTGGAATGTAGCAAAGGAAGTGGAAGGGTGCTGAGAGGCAACCTGGGTCCCAAGACTCCCAGACTGGGGTGGCTCCACTTACCCAAAGAAGAGAAGAGCAGCACAGCCAGGATAGGGCTGGGGATGGATGAGGGAGCCCCAGCAGCCATAGCTGGGGCAGGGGCTAGGGCCCAGCACATCTGTGGGGTTGAGAGAGTGGGGAACAAGGAACTGAGCGGGGGGTTCCTGGAACCCGCTTAAAATCCCCTGGAGCCCTAACATGAGGGGGCTGTCCTGAGCCAGTAACCAATTGCAGCCTGGCATGTGCAATCGAGAGGTGGTGAGGAAGTGGCGGAGGGGGGGGTGCAGAGTGCAGGAAGCAGAAGGGGTATTGTACACTCTGGGTAGAGGGGTGGGGGGACACATACCACCCCATACACAGAGGGCTTTGTGTCTACTGGCCTTCCCCCACCCCAGGCTGGAATGTTGGGGGGTGGTGAGGGAGAGGGACAGAAAAAGGGACACAGACACACTTCTCTGAGGGACAGATGGGCAGGGAAACCTTAATCAAAGGTCATGAAAAGGGATTCCTCCTTAGCCTCCTTTCCTAAGAACAGCTCCCCCAGAGTCCTAGTAGCTAGAGGCAGGTTTTCCCCCAAGAACTCTGCAAATAGGATATCCCTTATTATATTGACTACCACGGGCTTCATTACAAGGTCCTTTGGGAGTCTTCTCGCCCATCTCCCTGCATCCTGGGTGATTCTTCTCAGATAAAAGCTTTTCTCCACTGGAAAATTTCCAGGGAAGAAGCCCCTGGCTTTTAACTCTTTGTCAGGAAGTCTTTTAGTGCCTCATGTTGCAGTTTAAGTTCATTTCAATTTAGAGCAAGGCAACAAAATAGTATTGGTGCCAGCTATATGGAAAGTAAGGGAGTGCAGGTAATAGAAAGAGAAAAATTAAGTTCCTCCTGCAAGGAGTTCAAAATCTAGTTTGGGGAGGCGGAGGTGGGAGGATCAGAGAACAAATTCATCAACAGCAGACTGTTATAAATCACGATGCTTGCTTTAGGAATGAACAAAGTGTTGGGAGTAAAAAGGAGGGCACACACAGCTGCAACATCAGGAAGACTAAGTGAGCTATGCAAGAGATTAAAAACAAAAATAAATTTCATTTAATCAATGAAGTTCAGAGGAAGGGGTAGTCACGTCTAGGAAGCAATTTTAGATATGGACCAACTTTGATGGATGAATGTCATTTTGAAAAGAAGGAATGGGTAGGCAGGGTAACCAGATAGATAGAACAGCAAGGACAAAAAGGTAAGAGAGAGAGAGAGTGTGTGTGTGTTTGTGTGTGCACGCGTGCATGTGTCTGTGTGTGGTGGGTAGGTTTGTGAAGTATTAAGCATTTTCAGGGCAGATCTTCTGCCATCCACTTTGACTTGATTTGGGGGAACCTGAAGTAGCATAGTAGAAAATGCATCTGAACAGAGAAGTTGAAGCCAGTTTGGGAAGGGACTTAAATGACAGAGTAAAGAGGGTGGATTTAATTTGGTACAACATGAGAACCTCTTGAAGGTTTTGGGCTGGAGTTATGGATGGGAATGTCTACATAACCAGAGCTGAGTTTTAAGACAAATCTGGCCAAAAAATCTTTCAGACTGAGCTCTCTTGATTGCTGACTCCTTTGTTTCCCTCCTTAGAATCATCTGAAATGCTTTTGCTTATCACTGACCCTCACATACTCCCATTTATTTTATTTTTGGTGGCTGGCCAGTACCCATACTCTCATTTAGAACTGTTTTTCCTTCTCTCTTCCCCTTCCTTTCTCTCACCTCAAGTCTTGACTAGACCCTTCTTCCTCCTACTTTTTTTTAATTTAAAATAATTTTTGGCAGCTGGCCAGTAAAGGGATGATGCCTGGACCTTGGTGTTATCAGAACCATACTTTAACCAACTGTGTAAGCCAACCATCGCTCTCCTGTTGACTTTTAAGATAAACTCTAGTAATAAGGGCCTTGACTTAAAGTTTGGTTTGAATTTCATTGTAATTCATTTCCATCAGTTACATCAGTTATGGGTTGTAGAGGTTAATTTGAGTGGGAGGTCATTGTTATTCCTGCTATGAGACCATTGTAGGCTCACAGAGTAAAGCCACAGTATCCCAGTATCTCCCTGGCATCTCCTTCGACCACCTTCCTGGTGAGTTTGGTGATTACTATTAGATTTGCGTTGTGGAGCTCTAAATATGGGCTTGAAGGGGCCGGCCTGTGGCTCACTTGGGAGAGTGTGGTGCTGATAACACCAAGGCCACGGGTTCGAATCCCTATATAGGGATGGCCGGTTCACTC